TTTTTTTTTTTTTTTTTTTTTTTTTTTTTTTTTTTCATTTTTGGTGTGTGCGCGCCAAAATGAATGAATGGAGCTTTATATCATCTCGGGTTTGATGAGGTTGGTTAGACCTCTAGCAAAAAATATGCTAATAAGCCGAGAAAAAAAGAAACAAATAAATAACATAATAGAGAAAGAAAGGGAGATCCAAAAACTTATATACAGTATACAGCCTAAAATTACGTGAGATAGCTATTTACAATAAAAACCCTTATTGCATATTAATCGAATATAGATATTATTGAGAATTAGCTAAAACCTTTGCTGGCGGACTGCTTTTTTTGAAAGCGGACAATGTACTCAGGGATCTTGAGGTATCAGAAATCTTGTTCCAAGTAAAAGCCGTCAAGTACTTTACTGAATTCTTGCCATAACGAGTCGTATTAGGGTTCGGCACTTGTACCTTGTTAACCCCTCTAAGGTTTTTGATGTTGTCTCTCAACCTAAATAGGTCTCTCAGATATTCAGGTGGATAAGTGTTTATAGTCTTAAATACAATAATTTACGAGTTCTGGATACGTCGATCCACAAGGCTCTAACCGATACGATAAAAAAGAGTGCTAGTTTGTAAAGACTCGTCACTGTACAAGCAACCAAGTGCTCGTTCATGCAACCTATTCAGTTTTCACCTATCAGACCTCAAACAGTGATGCCATATGGAGAAAAAGTAATGAAAATGAGACATTATGAACGAATTATAAAGGTAGAGTTTGGTCCGAAACGATAATATATTCTTTTGTCTACAAAATGTTTTCCAAAATCCAGGAAATCGTCCAATGTTACCCAAACAGATCTACTAACTGTACCAACTAGTGGTAAGGCAACACCTTCAGCAAATGGTGATAGCTTGACATTAGGTTTTCGCGAGAGAACCGGCGCCTTGCATTTTTCAGGGTTGTAATGTACCAGGAATGTGTAGTTTGTTATGTAGCAGGAAATTGTATAACGAACGCGGAGAACTCAACAATATTTTACTTCAAGTCTGTAAGCACGTGGCAAGAAGAACCTACTGCGCATGTACGAAGCGCATAAGGATTCATGGGATATGACAAATGCCCCCTCTTAAGGAAAGAAAAACTGAACCTGATAATAATACAAAGTAATGTACTGATAGGAATGCTAAATTGGTGATTTATCATGTTTTATTCTCAACACTAAATACTTTATATGAATGATCCAAGACCCTAAAAGCTTCCTACATTTAACAAACAGATAGCACGTGTCACGCAAAGGTTTTAATTAATTCTTACGCATAAGAATTTCTTTGAAAAAGAAAAAAAAGGGTTCTTGCCGCATCTATACGTCAAATCACACTTTGATTTATATTTTATACGCTTTCCATTTAGTTTCGCTGTGTAGTTAATACTTTGGTGTTTCCTTCAATTAGCTCAAGCAGATCAAAAACCATCTCGAACATCATCGAAAAGAACTTTTTCAGTTTTTGTTAATTCATCATTTATTTGAAAAAAGTTACTGAATTAGACAAACATGCTTAATTAGTCTTATTACGTAACATCTTTGTGCCTATCGTGGTGCCTGCTGGGGCCCATTTAGACCCCGTCACTGATTTAGTATACGCTTAGTTACCAGAGACTATATGAATATCAGCTGTGGTCATAATAATTTATCTTTTTTGGAGCTGTTTGATTTGGTTAATTGTTGTCTTTGTTTTTAGGGTGGATTTGGACCCCAACAGGAAAATGAGCCCCACACTGATAAATCCAAATGTAATCTGAAAGCCGTAATATTTGCATTCAGGCGAACTTGTATATGCCTGACGACAAATTCTTAAAATTTCGAACCTTCTCGTTGTCCAACCATGTGAGGTACGGTGAATGTTGATCACTGGACGAAAAATTGGATTTGCACAAATTTGTTCCTGGCAAGTATATAGCAAAAATGGGAATAAGATTAAAGCTATGAGCAAATCTTGTAGGTCAAAAGTGGTAAATACCACATTTGCATACACCATCTTTGCCCCAGATTTAGGCCTGTTTAATCGTCCTGCTACTGCCGTGCTAAGCTGGCTCCACTGTAGCTCGACTGCAGCACGACACTAGCAGGACTTCGTTTCAGATTGGTAATTTAATTCAGTCGAATAGAACGGCTGTTGCCGAAAACAAAACAAAAAAAATTAAGAAACTGTTTAGCAAACTTTTAAATGTATTCTAATGTGTTTATAATGGATGATATGAGTTCGGCAAGGCAGTAACTCGACATTTGAAACCAAGTCAAGCTATTCAGTGTAGCACAGCAAAGCCTGCCGTGCTACACGGCAGTAGCACGACTTGGTTTTGAACGTTGCGCTTCTACCGTGCTAAAGTCGACTTTAATTCGATCAATTTAGTTCGGCACGACAGTAGCACGACGTTTGAAACGGGCCTTACTCTCCACAGTTTGAAATTTTTGGGGACACATTTGCAAGCAGCAAATTTGTGCAAATCCATAATTAGGGTCGCAGTGGAACCCGCTTTTTTGGACTGTTCACAGTCCCCTCTAAAGAAAGAGGACTGTGAACAGTCAAAACCCAACTTGGTCGGATGAGGGTTAAGCGGGTTTATGGTTGTTCGCTTTTTAGTGAGGCGGGACCTCATCAAAAGCTCCCCCTGGTCTGAATAGGGTTAAAGAATTAGATTGGGGAATTCGTTGATACAACAATCCCTCACTTTATCATTCTATAATCCTCATAACATTTTCTTTTGATGATGTATTGTCGCTGTTAGGAGAAATCTGACTGTGGTCGTCCCAAAACAGATTTCGAGGTGCCCCTGATTCGGATGGTCTCTAAAGGCGCTGTAACTTTAAGACGGCGTTTAAATAACTGACCAAGTAAGTGTTTGATTCTTGCTTGTTGTTGTTATTTATTGTTGTTGCTGCTGGCAAGTTTCAGGATTGTTTCACGAAGTATAAACAATACTGTTAGCTCGCAAGATTGCACGTCACCACTGACGCCAGCAAGATTTGGATAGAAAGTCTCACACGTGTTTTGTTCATACTCATGTGAATTTATTCACGATAAATTTCATAAAGACATAACATCTAGAGTCCTTATTATAAAGATTAAAATATATGACATCCTGCTGCTTCACAGTGTAGGTAGTAAGTTCAGCTCCCTGGCAATGATGGCAGTGAAGGGATAATCAGATACATTCCTTAATCTCTAAGAACGAGACAAAGAACAAACATGAAAAGCGTGTAAAACGATTTTTTTGGGTATAAGTTAATACCAACATGAAAAGGATCATGTGTCTTATAGGGGGTGTCGACCGACATATTGGTATCGACTATTGGTCGACTATCGGCAGAGTGTCAGTCGACATATCGGTCGATATAACGGCCGGCTGTCGATCGAATATCGATCGACTGTAGGTCGAATACAGATCGAGTGTCGGTGGAGTGTAGGTCGACTTTCGGCCGAGTGTCGCTAGACATATCGGCGAGTGTCGGTCGACATATCGGTCAATAGTCGTCCACGATAATAACGGAAGTGTTTCGGTAATGTATCGGTGAACCGTCGTTGCTAGTTTTAATATATTTTAATTATTATTATTATCATTGATTAGAGTGTTTTGAATTGCTAAATAAGTGCGTTTTACTAGAATGTACTGGGTTTACAAAAGCTATTTGTTTTTCGTTAATAAGGTTTGACCTTCCTTTGTAAAGATGCTCTTTTGGTCGTCGGTTTCTCTTTGTACACGTGCCGCTATTCAATTGAGAAATGATGCTTCTTGTTTAAACTGAACCCATACAGAAGTTCTTAATCTAATTAGTTCTGGTAAATTCAATGACAGTTGTTTGTTATCTTTAATTGGTTTAATTTGTTTTTTTTCCAAAATGTTCAGAAACTTGACCTTCTGTTGTCTGTTCCTGGACATTCCTATTTTTACTATCTTTCGCGGTTTTTGTGGTTTGTTCGACACTTGAGTGCACTTTCAAAGAAAACCTTGTCCAACAGACTATCTTAGTTAATTAGTTGTAATAAACAAGCTTTTGTTACTGCCTAGTTCAATTTACCTGCTAAAAGTTGTAGTGAGAGATATCTTTGTTTAAAGGTTTTCGCAATGTAAATACCTTGCTAACTGATTTTGACTAGAGAGTTGTAAACAATTTTTGAGTTAATTTAAGGAAAAAGACGGGACTACTGTACGATATTCCAACAAGAATCTTTTAAACGACAACTTTAGCACTGTACGCCAATTGACAAATTGTACATTTTAGAGTAACAATATTGTACATTTGTGATTTTCATTCATGTAAACCTTCCTTGTAATTTTTGTGTCTCTCTGACTGTTTTGGTTTGACTGGACATTTGTTGGACATAAGTGAATTTTGGAGTTTTAACTTATTTTCCTATTACGAGACAACCTCAAAGGAAAATGTGTTAGTAATTCTAATAGCCAATGGAACTTTTACTGATGTAAGATTATGTAAAAGTTTGAGTAAGATTGGCAGCCTTCAAGTTTAGTCAAAATAAAAGGAGCTGCTACTAGCTCTTGTCAGAGAGAGATATTACTAGCTTCGTTGCGTAGAATTCCCGGTCCATTGAGGTCAACAAAAAATTTCCCGTGCGGGTGGGGGTTAGTATTTTGCTGTTTTTATCCGTGACACTTCTAAATGAAGCATACATGAGGTAAAAACAAGAAAACGGTCAAGGAGAACTGGAAGCAAGTTTGAGAAAATAAAAAAGATGGCGGCCGAAACGAGGGAGCATCTTTTTTGGCTTTCAAAGACGTTTTCTGGAAATTTTCTTCGCGCTGGCTACCCCTCACGGGTTTAGGTCAAATTCAAAGGAAAACAAAAAACCCAGTTTTTATCGCATTCTTTGGTTTAAAAGACTGCGGTGGTTTTAAAGGCAGACGAGAGATGTCACGATATCAGGTGGTACCGTTCGCGATTTCTGCAAACTTTGGTTGCAATCTTTCGGCGAAAGTCTACGCAAGTGAAAATCCATACAAAAATGGCGATTTTTTGGTTAGTTTTTAGCGCGAAAAACCCTGTGAAATCCGATAAGCTGGCATTAATCGAAGGTAAGATCTCGAATTTGATGTTTTTGATATTAATATTCCGGTGGTACCCATTGAGATTAGGTTACGAGTAACTCACAATCAGAGACAAAAAACTCTAAAAGTCAAGTCAGTCTTATTATCTGGCCATATTTTAAAGACCAAATCGTGGCTCGAATGCGGCTTTAGCCTGTTAAATTCCCGGATGTGACCGGGCATTCTACGCCATGGATTGTGAAAAGCTGTGTTAACACAGTGAACCAACATTTGAAGAGTGAAACAGTTCAGTTCATTGTAGAGACCAAGTTTCCTACTACAAGAGTTTCATTTTGTATTTCAATTCCATTTCAGGTTCAGCTTCACCTTAACTGGCTACAACGGCCACGAAAAATGTGTTTCCAAACTCTGTTGTTAAAGTAAAAAGAGAATTAGCCTTTCCTGCGGCACTCGGAATATGTCGCAAGGATGAACATTGCGCACGAGGAAGCAACGAGGCAAACGAGAGAAGAGGCACCTATACGCTTATCTGCCTTTTTGCTCATTTCCTGCCTCCTTCCCATTTTCGCGTCATAACATACTGCTCTCTCAACCTATTACTGTAAAAACAGACTACTTGCACTCTAAAATGGCCATGCAATCGGGTTAAAACATTTTTTTTGAGAACCAGAAACGATCGCTTACTTTTGCAAGTGCAGTTAGTTCCTGAAACCTCTCTGTCCTCGTAGATTGGTTCGGAGCCAGGAGGACACCGTTCCTGGGTACACAGCAACTTGCACCCATAAAAGGGCCCTACACAAGTACAGGATGAGTGGCAACCCATAACAAAATACTCGCCTGGCTGATAAACCTCGCCTGATGGCAACTCACATTCCTGAAGAAAAATGTTTGAAATGATTCAGTGTTAGGAGGTCTGAATTTTTAAAGATTAATTTTCTTCATTGTACGTCAAGGCGCTGACGTTGACACGAGACGCAATAATGTACACGAGAAATCCGTTCATCGTTTTCTTCATATGTGATTTTCACATTCCCTTTAATACAATCTGTTTTCCCCACAAGATTTTGCCAAGAACTACTTTCAATTTCTCCAGTAGCTTGGGAGTAACAATCACGCCCTTGAAAAACTGAAAACAAAACTTATACAAAATTTTGTGGGAAAACCAAGTTGTATTATGGGAAGCGTGGAAGTCGCAGATACAGTAAACTCTGAATTAAGCGAACCCCATATCCTCTATTATTAAACCGGACACAAGCTTTAGTTATCAACCAATCAATCGTTTATCTATCTACGTAATGTATAATGAGCTTAAAACTGACAAAAAGTACAGAAAAGAAAAAACGTTTGCATTTCATTTGGATTAAACAGCGGCCCACCCTTTCCTCTGCCAGAAAAGATAGACTGTTCCTGGGTAACATATGCTTAATGCTTAAGTTGCAATGGAAGCTCGATATAACGAACCTCTACATAACGAAGTCCTCGATATAACGAACGATTTTCCTTATCCCAGTAATAGTAAAATATATGAAAAAGAACCTCAATACAGTGGAACCTGTCGATATAACGAATGGCCAAGAGACTGACAAAATGTGTTCGCCACAATCTAAAGTTCCGTTATAGCGAGGTTCTTTTTCTTATATTTTACTATTACTGGGGTAAGGAAAACCGTTCGTTATACCGAGGACTTCTCTCTGTAGAAGTTCCTTATATCGAGCGAAACCTCGTTTTCGATAACACATTTCGCAAGTCCCTTGGCCCTTCGTTATATCGAGGTTCCACTGTAGTAAAAGATCTAACCATCTATCAGGCCATTAGGTTCCGACTTGAGTAACGGACAACGCACCTTCAAAGCAATTAAGACAATCTACAAAAAGGGGAACAACGACAGTACACTTACAGTTGCGTCTACTGACTTGGCTATGAATGCAAGGAGAGCAAAACAGCAGAAAGAAGAAATGAATCCTTTTGCAACCATTCTGAAAGAAAAAATAAATTTTTGTCTTCAAAAGGTTTACTTAGTTTTCAGGTGCTCTAATTAATCAGCTTCAATTCTGTCTTTGGTTTATCTTAAAAGGATAATATTAAGCCTCAGCAGTTCTAACGAATATTTAGTTGAACGAAATTTAATGTAAACTAAGGCTCATGATGATCGTTTTTGTACTTTTGAGGACTTTTATTATAATCATAATGATTAATATAATCATTTAATACTCTTTATAATAACTATATTTTGATTAATGTAAATCATGAATTCCGCACAGATTATCAAAATAAAATGTGCATTACCATTAAAATTATTATTCATTACATGTTAATAATAAAAATCCTAGAATTGCAGTGACTTGGAATTTAAAGGTTGCATGCTGTACAAGCCTGCGTATGGTAATGACGAGAGACAATGCGGCAATACAATGAAAATCTCTCAAGACTATTATAGCAAAACTGGAATGTTTCAAGTAACTACTCTTTTAAAAACGTGAAAGAAGCCTATTTCCCTGGATAGAAGCCTGAGTTACTATATAATGCGTTTTTGGAGGGAAAGGAGAAGACAGAAACAAAAAGGGCAGACAGAAAGGAGAGAAACTCCTTTTTTCTCTTCTAGCTCCCTAGCCTTTCGTCCCTTAAAATCTTCTCTCCCTTAGTTCCTACGGAAGCC